CACAGTGTTCTTTAAAAGAACCATCTGAATGTGAAACGACCAAGCCAGCAAGAAAAATCAGATTCAGTGTTTATCTAACTAACATAAATCTTATAAATTCTAATAGTGAGGCTGTAACACGCTTGAGGCCCACATGGGAGATGAAAGTAGGGAAAAGGTTTCATGCAAAGGCAGCAGGCAGAAATCTGTTTTTTTAATTAGGAAACCAGAAGAGATGTGAGGAGGACTGTAACGTTAACATCTGCCACAATCTGCACCACTACGGCAGAGAATGGGTAATTGTGTCTGTCTCTTAAACGACTGTCAGCAGCATCCAAACCACATGACAAACTTCCTAACTCGAACATCCCCGAGCACAAGAGTACACGTTCGTGCTGAGAAAAAAGCATGAGAGGCGCAGGATCGCTCCGAACACACAACTTTGCGGTGAAAACATGAGTCTGAAGACTTCTGCTGGAAGCCTGGTGTGAATCCCAGCACCAGGACCCTTCACAAAGAAGAAAAGTAGTGGTGGTGATGGCAGCAGGATCTGTTAATATCACCTTAGTGAAGCAGCAGAGTATCTTCCCCGTCTTGTCGCTAGGGAACCAAGGTCAACACGCTTTTAGCCGGGAGGCAGCAAGAGAAGCAACGGATCGAGTCTAGGTGTCTTGAAACACAACCTTGCAGCTCAGCCACGTTCCTCTAGATCTCACCTGCTCTACCTGAAAAATTCTACAAGTCTCACTTCGAATAAAAATTAGGATTTTTTGCAATTATAATTGATTACACAAAACAGCTATCATTGTAACATGCATGTCAAATTTACTAAAGTTGGGTTTTATTGTTTTCTCCCTCACGTTCCCGTTAAGCCAGAAGGGGACTGCAGTCATTTTTAGGCTCACAAACCAGAACTGACATGGGAGCTATTGCTCCTCCTGCCAGTGGGTGTCTTTTCTTTAGCACCAAAGCAGGCACAAGGCTGTGGATTTATCTGAAAAACACGAGTGGCGTTTCAGCGGAACCGTTTATAAGGTTTCGGAACAAACACCTCTGCTTTTTCGGATGGGTTGCTAAAAGAGACCATTGCAGGCACTCTGCAGACTCTGGAAGACATTGACCTTTCTTTCCTTGGATTCAATTCACATTTTTCACTTCATTGTCATGTGGGATTATTAGCTGTAATTGAAAGTAAAAGTGTAGATTAAGGAAAAAATTTTGCACAAGTACTCAATTATATGGCAAATTCTGTGCCTGAGGAACTACAGAATATATTCAGTCCTTATTAAACATTATTTCTGAAATGATTGTTAATTAAAGAACGCCGAAGATGCAAGTTGGATGGATGAAGACAAACAGAACAACCTCAGACCGTTGCAAAGACAATGTTTCCCCCAGTGGAGACAGAACGGACGGCTAGTCTTACTCAGATTTCATCTCTTGAGAGGACGATTTATAACGTACAAGACAGGAGAAATTTATTTGCTAACATATGGAAAACATTTATGGGCTCTACTGAGGATCCAGAATTAAAGAAACACAACTAGATATTGTTAAAACATCTAAATGGAGATTTCATTTAAGAAATAAGCATATTACCCTCAAGTCAGTGACATTTATTTCTAAATACTGTTTCTTTCTGCCTTGTTAGGCATGAATTTCAGAACAGAGGTTTGTATCAACTTGTCTAGTTGCCGTAGGTCTAATTCACAGGAAAATTATTAGATGGCAAAGTCCTGCTTTTAAAGATACAACCCCATGCTTCAGAACGATGGATGGGGAGCATATGCCGTAGGAATGGGGCAAGATATTGCTGCCCAAACTGCAGTCTTGGCACTGCAAGTTACAGTGATGGGAAGAGACAAGGCTACCGACACCACCGATGGTTCCCAAGAAAACGCTCACGTATCCACAGCTGCAGATAACTCACCCCCTTAAAAAACTAAAAAAAAACCACCTTCTGGTACAAGAAAACGATCCTCCATTAAGCCACCATTAAGCCACGCGAGATCATAGCCTGAGGGGCAAACCTTCTCTTCCCCAGGTAAGTAACTGTCTGGATGCCCGGAAGGGTTGCGCGCTGGCTGATGAATAAACGAAAGGGATGACGTATGAGTTGCACGCACAAGAACATGCAGAAAGTCATCATCCCATGGAGCAGTATCGAACAGGAACACTATAAAAGCCCTGGGCCAATCAATATCCAACAGGGTCAGTGCTCACACGTAATGAGGGCGGTTGTTTTAAAGCCAGTACCGTTACACTGGTGCAAAAACCAGTGCGTACGTGCGAGCTAAAGCCCGGGTGGCCATCTGTAACGCAGCGTTAAGAAACGTGAAGTTTTGGACTGCTGTGGTTGAACAGATTGAAGTATCTCCAAGGAAGGGCAGGACCTCGGGCCAAATATTTGAGGCAGCAGCGACGGCTGGGATTTTCAGAGATGGGTAAATGACTGATTAAATGACTCAATCATGCAGATGCTTTTGAAAATTCTGCCGCACGCAGTTAAGTTTATTCATGCATGTGTGGGAGAGGGGGAGGACTGTGAAGATTTTAATAACTACCTCAGGAAATAAAAAAGAACAAATGTACTTTCTCTTTAAAACAGAGTGAAAAAAACCTCTGAACCTGCAAAATCCACTGCTGTGGCTGGGGAAAAGAGTTTACAGGAAAGTTTTAAAGAAGTTGTGTGTGCAAAGATGACCAAATGGACTATGATACACAAGTCAAAAAGAAGTGCAAAGAAAGAATATAACAGAAAGGTAAAAATAAAATACATCACAGCCCTACCAATTTCTTCCAGTCCTCCACGTTTCAAGTATGTTATTTCTGGCTTGTGAAGACTTCATGCTCTACCATCACCTACCGGGATTCCCAGACAAATAGGAAGTCATGAACTTCAAAGACTGTAGGGAATGGAGAGACTTTATCTTGGAAAAGTAAAGAAGAAATATTTGGGAAAAAGAGGCTACTAAAGCCTCGTTTTTGGAGTAAGACAACACACCTGCCTCGATGTGACGGCCTGACCAACGGCACCACGTGAGCTACCGCCATCGGTGAAGTCCCTCTTGTGCTCTGGAGATCACGCAATGTGCAGAGAGAGCTGCCAGGCAGGGCACAACCCGAGGGGCCAACATCCCCCTGGATCCCAAAAAGGTGCCGACTGCAGCTGAGGTTCCCCTCCTTGCTAATGCTATCAAGTAGCTTGTTCCTCCTCCTCCTCCGAGCATCCTACCCATAAATATCTGCATGGTGGGGGGTTATCTGTCACCTCCCCAGGGTCAAGCAGGGGGGAAATTCTCTTTCAGTTCCGGCTGTTCACTTTGAATGCAGGAGTTTGACTGATTTTGATGCAGCTGAAGTACCATTCATCCAACTTTCTCAACGTGAAGCGACACCTACTTAAAGGCAACAACTTCTTTTTCCTGGTAGAAAGCACCCTACGAGTTTAAAAATCAACACTCAACTGCAAGATTGAGCTTGTGGAGAAATTCAGGAGCACTCCCAGGTCCCAAAACGTCAGCCGGTGATTTTAGCAAAAATAGCCTTTCCTACTTTCACAGGCTACTTTTCACTGCTTAAACACTGAGTATCTCCACATCTAACCCAGTGAGAGCTGGCACACGCCCATCCCAAGGCAGATTTCAATTGTCATCCCGTTTCTGACGAGCATGGAAGAGCAGCACACAAGTCGAGCGCAACCATTTGTCCCCAGCAGAGCACAGTTCGCCCGGCGAATTCAGGAACAAAACTGCACAAATTGGTAAACCACTCTGGCCCCATCAGGACCTCCCTCCAGCCTGTCCCATCCCAGTGCCTATAAATCACTTCTGGCAGGTAGTTGGGAAGCAGCTGCTAATGATAGCTCTGCTGTGGAGTGCAGGAAGTCACCTTTTAACCCTGCCTGCTGTTGTTTGTCTCCCAGAGCCATGACAAAAGGACAGATGCGGACAACGGGGAGGATCTGGTCAAAACACAGCAGGGAACCTGCTCTGGTCTCGTATGGGTGAAGCATCACCCCCAAAAACACGTTTTGGCTTTTGGTGAATCCTGGAGCTCACTTTCAAACAGCACGATGCCTGTCCTCAGTTTTACCTCTTTCATCCTAAAGATGCAGGGAAGCATCCCAAAGATGACTTTAATTCAGTTTGCTGTTGTTCTGCTGAGGACGTCCCACCTTCCACCCTCCTGCCATCCAGTCCCCACCTGCACCACGGGACAAGGAGGGCATTTAGAATACAACGCACGTACACACGTGCATGGGGAGCTGTGATCGGAGCTGAGCAAATAAACTTAATATGACAAAGTATTCGTTGTGAGCGTCCTGTTTTTAACCCACAGAATATCCGTGGTTGGATTACAATTTCATTTGACGTAATTTTTTTCTTTTTTTCCCCCCTTTTAACATGTGCACATGTAGTGGGGACAGCAGCTTCTCCTGTTTCAGCAAAGCTCCAAAACACATTTTAGACATTGCCACAAATTAAATACGAAACTCAATGTTACTTAAGTCATCGCCGGTTAGGTAGATGGCATGCTACTGTGCATTTCTCCAGCTGAAAAATACTTGCTTGAACTTTCTGCATTTCATGCATAGGTGAAACATTTTTAAAGTTGGCTTTTGTTAATCACTGCTATTCAAAATCTTATTTTCTTGAGTGTGCACCTGAGTAGCAGCCACCTACTTGAGTTTGTGGAAAGCTTCTCAAGGACAGAGAAGTATTAAGAGGTGCGTGCACCACTCAGACTAAGCCACAGGAAATTTGAGGGTGATTATTTCCTCACTTCTAGCTCTGACATCATCTGCTCTGCCATGTTTTTCACATGACGACGGGAAGCCAACAGAAACCCAACGCTTTACCTTCTATAGAGGATATACTTCCATCAAACAAGACATACCCACTGGCCAAACACGATGATGGCTGGAAGCCAACCCCAAGGCATAAAAAGAAAAACCCTTTCCAACCTGATCATGTAAACCAGAGTGTAAAGGAGAACAAGCTCAGGTAAGATGTACTTACTGTGAAGACATCATCATCACCGACCTCGGCCTCATTGTGAAGTGTTGACGAGGAAGTCGTAGACCCTAGAAAAAAAAACAAACAGCTTTTTAAACACACAACATTTCTATGGAACTTTTTTTTTATTAGGTTGGTAAACATTTGGATTCTCACAAGTTTGTACATTGTAGATGTGTTAAAGAGTGGCTCAAATTAAAGAAGAAAAAACCATCTGCTCAGTAGCTGGCTTGGAAAGGTAAAATCTGAAAGTGTTTCTTGACACACAACTGCATGGCTGCCAATGCTAATTAACTATGTTAAAAATAGCAGTTAACATTTCCAATTACAGAAGACTTTCATTTCTGAAGAATGGTAAAGCTACATACTAATCAGTGCTCGAGACCAGATCCTCAGCTGTCAAGAAACCATATATGAGTTATTCTTCACGTATCCCCTAAATCTGGTGGGAAAATGACTTTTTATTTTAAAAAATAAACCTCACTTTGACAGTGAAGAGTTAGATCGGGGTTTTTTCTTCTTTGAATTTTGGAAGTTGTTACATGTTGCAAAGGTCTTCTCTGTTATCAGCTATTTCTCAGAGAACCACCTTGCCCCATGTAAGCAAAGCATTTGAAAGGCGCTGAAATGCGTAAATACGACAAACGAGAGCAAAATACTAGAGTACTGTTCTCATTAATTATATGGCAATCCTCTGGAAAAGCGGAAAATCACATTAAGAAAAAACAAAAATCTTCCTCCAACCTTTTTTCCCCACCTCAAGGGTGTTGTCCACCTCCAGAGTCACTCAAGAGCCCGGTCAGCACCCACATTGCAGAAGGGCAGCGAGGAGGGTGGCACACGCTATCACTGGACTTGGTACTAAGTCTCTGCTGTGGCTAAAAGCGGGTGACCCCTCTCTCCACCCCTGGCTGAGGGCCCCAGACCCTCTTCCCAGCTGACATTACTCCCCATGAGGCTGCCACGGAGGATGGGTGCAGCAAGGTACTCTGATAGGTGGGAGAAATCCCAAGTCAAAGGCTTTTTTTTTTTTTAATGTAAGCTCACTGGTATACTGAATTAGGGCCACATTGCATCTCGAACTAAAATAGTTGAACGGTTTGTACCACCTTCATTCTGGAAATTTTTTTAAATAATGTGCTTTATGTAATGCTATCTGCACCAGCCTTGGCTGCTCTCAGTTGCATCATCACGAAGATGTGCAGAGCTGAGTGCGAAAGCCCACTTAAAACACTTAAGTAACGTGAAAACGTTTGTGCTATTTGCTGCATTAGCTTTAAAAGTAAAAAATCCAGACACTCTACAGAGCTGCATAGAATTCCTGTACTTGTGCACAAAACTTCTATGCTTCTGCTGCTACAGGAAACCAAATATCAGTTAAATATTAATAAGGCAGTGACTTCATGAAGTGAAGTTTCAAATGCTCACAGTTTGTTGTGCTTAATATTACCTGCTAAATTTGATCAAAAAACGAACGATAATTGAAATGTACTGCCCAACGCTGTGCGCGCACAAGCCAGTTATTGTTTTTCATTCAGAAAGCCTTATTTGGAAGTTAAGGAGGAACACATTCATGAGGAGCAGTCTGTGCTGTTAATGGGATAAATATAGATTTGCTGATTTTGAAGTATCTGAGATACAGCAGAACTTGATTTTAAATACCTCCGCTGTAAAATGGATCGGAAAGAGCAGAACGGGAGATGCCATGTACCGGCATCTCCAAAATACTACTTAATACGAATGAGTTATCATCTTCTTGAAACTTTGTAGAGCTCCATGCCACTTACACAAAGCATCACTTTTATGACTCAAAATGCTTCCCAGTTTTAGCAAGCAAGAAGACAGCAGAAGGTCTAGCTGTAATATTGTTACATCAGTGGCACAGGAAAAAGCCAATGAATAACTAGTTGAGAAGATCCTTCCTCTACCTGGTGAGGTATTTATCACAAAAGAACCCTGGGGGATTAATTCTCTCCCAGTACCTAGCAATTCCATGTTAAAGCAAGGACAGAGCATCCCGAATGTTAAGCTGTCTTATGGAGCTAACGTCCTCAAAAAGAATACACATTTGTATATATACGTATTTGGGCTAGTATCCTCAAAAAAATAATACCAACTGTATATAAAAATATTCTGGTCACACCAGTTAAGAAGGAGAAAGGCTTTGGACCACTAAGTCCCTACGTAAAGTGGCATAGTTAGAAAAAAAAAATCAAGCAAAAAACCCAAGGAGAATCAAATTTCATTAAAATAAAGTACTATTGAATTATAGCTGTATTATGATTGCCTGATTGCAATGAAATGTGAAAGGGAAAAACTTCTGACAACTTCAAAGCACAGGCAATTCAAACGCAGTTTTTACAGAACTAGAAAAAAACAAAAACATAACGAAGTCTTCAAGAACTACCATTCAACTAAGTGGATGCAGACAAAACTAATTACTGCAAAAAAAAACCCAAAACAAAACAAAGTTTTACTCAACTCCAGGCAGGAATTCATACTATGATTTAACAAAGACTCAGTAAGATGAGATTCAGTTGCATATGAAGTGCCTGGGCTGTCTGAGTTGCCATCACTAGCGTGAAACCCAAGCCTATCAAAAAAAAAGCAGTAATAATAGGCTCGATGATAATTAAGGAGGGAAGTCTGGACAGACCAGGCCAGATAGGATTGGAAAACACTTGGACTGAAATCCTTTCTCTCCTTAATGAGAAAACTCAGTTCTTAAAAGTAAGCTGAGGCTTGCTCAGCACAGGGTAAGCACTGGACTTTAGCACTGGCTGGACTATGCTTGGACTGGTGCACAAGAGATGCCCGAGCCCAAGGACTGATTTCAACCCACCCCTCTTCCCAGCTCCACGTTTCAAACCCTGCTTCCCACCCTTCCAAGGGTTGAGTGGCCACCGCCGTGCGCCACGGTACCTTCAATGAGGTCCTCGATGGCTTTCCTCACTCCTCTGTCGAAGGCTCGAGCGTCAGCGGGGCTTTGAAAAGTGAGCCCGAACTTTCTGTTGTCGACTTTCCAGTGGTGGAAGGTGGGATTTGCCTTCGTGTATACCAGGTCCTTCTTCACAAAGCACTCCAGCACCACCTGGGAGGGCACGAGCCCCAAAAGAGGAGCAAAGTCACTTTTCCCACTCCAAGGACGCAATCGGCACTGTCTCAGCCCGGACCTAAAAGCAAGCCAAGTCATGCCTTGCGTAGGGGCATGTCCTTCTCTACCAAACGATGACTAATAAACACCTAAACACTTCTCATAACCATCACACGCTCATCTTTATGCTTTGAGTAGGTGCTTCCTTGCTACCCCAGGAGCCTATTTTGGACCCAGACCCAGCGTGGCCCATCTTACAGCTGGTGGGGGCACAGGCAGAGGAAGAACCTCTTCCCTCTGTAATTTTGCTCAACAAAAATTTTATTCACCAGCAGATTTAGGAGGTGCTGCAACACTCCCCTCACCTTTTTTTCTTCTCTCACTCCCACATCCAGGCATTCAGCTCAAGCTCTGCTGTGCCAAAAACCACCTCTAGGGTGATGCTCTGGGAGAACAGGAATGGCTTGTAAGTCTTACCCCGTCCCCCAAAACCATAAGTGTGGCTCCAAAATAGCATCAAAAAGGCATCCTAAGCAAAGTAGTATTGCAAAAGACAAACTGTACTTGAAACAGCTTTAAAACACCAGTCTTTTTGAAAGCAACATCATTTCCGACTCAAATAATGCATTTTTTTTTCCCCAAACACTGAGTTTTCAGAGCAGCCTCTGCAGGGAGTGTATTTTGAAGCCAGCCCATCTCTTCACAGGAGCGAATTTCAGAAGAATCAAACATATGGAAACGAGGTAACAAACCGTAGTATCTAAACCGGACCCCGGCATAGGGAAAAGGCTTTATTAATTTGGTTTGTGCGGGGAAAGAAGAGCGCTCCTTTTCAGATGAACTGCTACGAGGAGAAAGCGAGTGCGTCGACTCGCAAGAGACAACTTGTCTTCGTATTCTTGCTCTGCTCGTTCAAACCTTGAATGGCACGCAGCATAAATAACTCACGGCCGTTTAAAAGGCTTGCACTGCATTACTCAGTGCAGTGTGACTGGCTTCGTGGGTTCTTTACGCTTCAATTCACTCCTCACTTAGCCCTGCCAGGTCTTAGGAAAAAAAAAACAAAACAAAAAACCAAAACCAACCAAAACCTAGGCCCTTTTTTCAGTCATCAAAGGGGGTCTTTGCACATGGATGTCGAAAATCTACTTGCTCCTTCCAGGTGGCGGCACGACAACCCAGATAGCAAAAGATGGCAATTCTAGATGAGGATGGGTTTGTTTTGTCCAATCTGGTACTGCTTGCACATGCCTGTTTTTTATTTTTCAAAAAAGCCCCCAACCAACCTTGCACAAGAATACAATAGCAATAGATTTGGGATAATTCTCATTATAAGAACAGACAAAAGTTGAATTAGGTTCTATTACCAGTTTGTCTTTCTGCCTTTCACCATGGATTAGAAATCCACTTCTTCCATTGCCCTCCGGGTACGTGACCTTGCAGACGCCAACTCTACTGAGACCGCCTCCTTCTTGCGGCAACCATCCCCCACTGGAGTCATCTCGGGTCATAACCACAGCTTTGACTCGCACAATATAGCTGTCACTGCAATGGTAACAAAGCAAAAACAAAACAAAACCTTTTGTGAGCATCATACGGTCTCGTTGGGGCGTTTTTCTTGAGGGCAGTATTTAGACAGCACTGATCCAGTTCCAACACAGAGTTTCTGCCCAGGATGGTAGTCCACCTCCGTGGCGGATGGTCTTGACCACTCAAGCCACCATAGGAAAGAGACCCATCAAGCAGCAAAGAACAGTCCTGTTGGGTTTCCAAATACCAACATACGATCAAACAGCCCATGGTCTCAGACACTCAGTTGGGGACAGGGACCCAGAGAGCAGGGTGAGCTGGGCAGCACCGCAAGGCCACCACCCACAGGGGATGCATTGGGGCACCAGGTCTAAGAAGTATTGGAAGAACATATTGAGCTCAAATAACCCATGAACAAAGTGTTTAAAGGTTTTTGTGATCATATTAATGAAGCGGGCTTTGGAAGACAACACTCAAATGCCTCTGCAATTGGGACAGCCTTATGAGGAAAAAACCCACAAGTGTGGCTCCAGCTGGTACCTCAGACAAAACAAGATGGGAACCATCTCAGCTCAGGTCATTAGGATCACACTTTGTCCGTATAACAGCACCATCAGCATTTCAAGGGGTTTTCCAAGGTGGCATATCACAACCTCACAAGAAACTATTCTGGAAGCAACTGAGCGAGAGATCTGGGGATAATCCAGGACCCATCGCAAGGGGTCAGAAGATCCCCCACAGCAGGAAGCTCCACTTGCCCAGGCTTCCTCCTCTATCATTTCCACCAAGCAATTGCTCCAGCATCTGCTGGGGACATCACCTGGGAGGGGGTCATTTGGGAGCAGAAAGGCGATTATAGACCATAAGCAAAAGTCAAGCACCTTACATGGGACATGTGACAAACTCCAAGCTAAAATGGGTTGTCCCCATCACAGAGCTGCTCAGGAACTGCGACGACAGCTGTGACACCCTCACGGGGAGGTCACCGTGGCGGGGGTAGATGTCAACCATGCACCACAGCACTGTCAGCTGCAGAGCTGCCGAGGCACCCACCAGCACCCTCAAAGGTGCTGCAGGGCATTCAGACCTGGGCAAAACTGGGAACATTAACAATGGCTAAGGAAAAGGACGCAGAAAGAAAACTGCCCAGGGATTTTCCATCTCCAGGCCATCAGGTGAGCTCATGAGGAGGGGAAAGCTCAACCCTGAGAGGACTCCAAAAGAAGGCCTTTCAAAACGACAGGTATTATCCTCCTTGAGAAAAGCTCTGTATCTGGACATTTTCCCTCATCCTGTACAATATGACAAAAGAAAGGGCCCTTTCTATCCAAAATTACAAGCAGTAGTAACTTTCTTTGTCCTGCACCAGGTGAAACTGCCTCTTGTTTTCAGACATTATTTTTGCATCACTTTTGTAGTTCAAGAGCATTCAGCTCTGGGGCCCCCAACATAAGGACATGGACCTGTTGGAGCAGGTCCAGAGGAGGGCCACAAAGACAATTCGAGGGCTGGAGCACCTCTCCTATGAAGACAGGCTGAGAGAGTTGCGGTTGTTCAGCCTGGAAAAGGGACCAGGGAGACCTTCTAGCAGACAAGCAAGCTGGAGAGGGACTTTCTACAAGGACGTGTAGTGATAGGACAAGGGTTAATGGCTTTAAACTGAAAGAGGGGACATTTAGATTAGATCTAAGGAAGAAATAAGGGTGGTGAAGCACTGGAAGATGTTGTCCAGAGAAGCTGTGGATGCCCTATCCCTGGAGGTGTTCAAGGCCAGGTTGGATAAAGCTTTGAGAAACCTGATCTAGTGGAAAGCGTCCTTGCCCATGACAGGGAGGTTGGAACTAGATGATCTTTAAGGTCCCTTCCAACTCAAGCTGTTCTATGATTCTATTTGAAGTCTGAGTTCCCCCTTCTCTAATATGACCCTGTTTTATTTAATACTTAAGCAAGCAGCCTTACAGATCCTACTTGAAGGTGGTTTTGAGGACAGACCAAAGGAGGCAGCAAGCATCTTCTGGGCAGAGGCGCCTGGGACCAGTTAATCCTTTCTGCAGCTGGGCAGATCTCACAAAACACACGTTGTGATTTTCCCTTCACTGGCTTTATTTTATGGATATACCAACTTTCACACTGGACCTACACGATGAAGACAGCACACAGATGCTTAAGGTTCATCCCCTGTTGCTCTGAGGACTTTGTACCAGACAATAAAAAGCTTTTCAGCACACTCAGATACACAGCCCGTACTACAGCTGATTCACCAAGGCGTTCGCAGAACTGAGAAATAACATTTTAAAGAATATTTTTGCTTTTGAGTCCTTAAAGCAGCATCCTGGTAAAGGAAGCAGGACAAATGCATCTATCAATAGATCCAGTTACCTTTTTATTTTCTAATGAAAACCCATTTCTAAATTTCACCAGTGGCAACTTTAATCTTTTGGCTTCCTGATACTCAGAATTAAGCAAAATACTTAAGCTAATTTCCTACCATGCAAAAATTGAGCTGCTTCCACGCAAGACAATTTCTGTTTTCTTCTCTGTACCTTTCCCATATGGTCTATAAGGATCAGCAATTAACAAATAAAGAAAAAAGAAAGCCAGATGTATGTTTCTGTATAATTCTCCTGTTCCCCAAGGATCTTTTCTGGACTTACTATTTAACTCTTCTCACTCCTGGGGAACTCCCATTAAATTTCAAGCTTTCTTCTGAAGTCCGAACAGCTCAGTATGACCTTCCTCCCCATCCTCCCGCCAAAGTCATCCGCACAAACCGCTGGTTCTCCTTCCACGCTTGAAAATTACCACTGGCGATGCAGCTTCCTGTGGGATTTACCTTTCATTTTTATGGCAGCAGCTGGAGCCTTTGGCTGTCCCAAAAGTAACATCGTCTTAAGTTACTTTGCTGCAAGAGTTGTCCACTTGAAGGAAAATTAAGAAAGCAGCAGCTACTCAATACTTTGTGATTTCTACCAATTATTTGCGTGTTTCCATCACCTCTCGGTAATTTCTCTAGGCTCGTAATTACATTTGAATACTAGTGGATGACTACACTTTAGGTCTAGGTCCCTCGACTACTGTCCCTGCCCATTATAACCACAATCTGGCAGGGCACAGAGCCATACGGTTTTCCATTTTGTATCTGTACCGATATCATGACCTATGACTCTTACAACCTCTGCCACCAAGGCCACCGATCTCACCCGCGTGCCCAACAGCTGCGCTACTAGATGTGACGCCTATTAAGGGAGAAGACGGGCGCTTCGTTAACTCAGAAGTGCTGGTTCTGCTTTTGAGTGGAATTTTTTGGAAGTCAGCAACCTCACCCGGGGATGCCTCGTGCACCTGGGTCACACTCTTGGAGATCGGTGAGAAGATGGATTTGGACCAGAGCTTGGCAGTTGGCTTCCACCTACATTCAAGACGCTACTGTGACACCAGAGGGTCAGGGATTGGGGGGCAAGGGGTTGGGGAAATAGGCTGAATAGCAGTTTTTTTGACCCAAACAGAGCAATCTGGTAACTTGCTTTAATGGAAAGTGGATGGATTGACGGTGGAGAATAATCTGCTGGCTTTTCAAGAATACGTGGTAGAGGAAAAACTTAAAGGAACTCAAGTGCAAAGCAAAAGACATTGAAATTTTACTCTTTTCCTCATTACTCGCTGCATTTGTCTATCATCCCCAACTACCCAGGAGAACATCATATAAACTGCACTTCTCCCAACTTGAAGAGCTACCTCCTTAAACATACCAAGCCAGAAAAACTCTCTTCTATCCCCCTACCACAGCAAGAAGACCTCTGCTCCCCTATTAGAAAAGGACCTTGTCCAGCAGAAGGGTTCACCTTTGGCAAGGTACGCGGAGCTCTGGCTCCGGTAATGCAATCCCTTGGCACGCTTTCCTGCATGATCAAAAGTCACTGGTGATGACCCCATCCCGCTCCCACCAGACTCCAGCCACAGATGCACGTTTCCCAACACGCGAACCCAAAAGAACTAGGGGAAAAGGGAAAAAAAAAAAAAAAAAAAAAGAAAAGAAAGAAAGAAAAAAGGTGGTTAAGGCTGCTCAGGGCTTGACATCTTGGTTTAATCACTGGGCTGGGACTCAAGAAGCTGCACATTGAGTTTTCGAGGCTGTGCACTGCTCCCTTCAGTTTTATATGTCAAAATCTTGCCTGCCCTTTCCATCCACAAGCCTAGAATAGGCAATGCTTCTTTCCCTCATGCCAGTGTTGATAAATACTTAGGAGGTACTCAAATATTTCAGGTCCATATAAGGACCTTGCTTCCTTAGTGTAAAAGCTGTTTATTTTCTTTGCTATTTAATTTTACATGACTGCGCCGAGGCTCCGGCTGGTTGCAAGCATTTAAAATCCTCGGGAGCGAAGGAGTGATCTGCAAATCCCATGTGCGTGTCGCTGCTGAAACCGTGGTGCACCGAAGCAGCAAAACAACCACCTTCAAGTCATCCACCTGCACTTTTATCACGGCGACTGTGCAATTTGACTACTCCAGGAGAAACGGTTAATGGGGTATGTGAAAATATTTGGTCTGTTACCATTAATGAGATACTGACTGCCGCCGAGATTAGATAACGCAAGCCTTTCGTACACTTAAAAATGAAACAGCTAGAAAAATCCCGCAGTAGCCTCAGTTCTCCACATTTTATTGGCTTCTTAAAACTTTAAGACCGCTCTAATTGTCGGGTTTATGGCCTACACGCTACGCATTTCATGCAAACTATTCTTAATTACACTCTTAAATGGAATACTTTGCTATCTTAACCCTACAGATTTGTCTTCAGCAGCCTTAAAAGCTTGGGAAGAAAGTATCTGCAGGGATTACCCAGCTGCATGGCAGCCGGCCAGGGTGTTCCAGGGCTGCTGCAGGTTGTTCACCCGCCCCACCCCGAGCAAAAAACCATAATGAACTTGGGGAGTAAAGGTAGCGCAGAAAACCACGTGCTGTTTTTATTGGAAGGAAAAAGAGAACCCTTTAAAAATTATAGCTC